GAAAGCCTCAGGGTGGTCTGTTCCGACAAACGAGCTGGGGTTAGAGTCCTGAGTGGCAAAGAAGCATCCATCCCCGCCTTTGCAGGTGCTCTTCCCGCCTCTTGGAATGCCATTTCTCTCTCCACCAGCAACACCTCCCCATATCTGTCTGGCAAACTTCCCCCCATCTTTCAGGCTACAGTCCAAGATGGCCTCCTATGGGAAGCCCCACCCACCCCCGCAAACTCCCTCCTTCCCTCCCCTCCCCTCCCTTGTATCCACTGTTCTACAGCTGCAGGATTGCACCAGACTACGTGCTGCCTAAGGGCATCAGGCGCCCTTTCCTGTCTGTTTTATACGCCAAACCACCAGCACGATGTTGGGCACACAGTGAACAGAGGAGTGGGTAGAACAGGAAGGGATGCTGATGTGGATGGACAGTGGCCACTCAGCCAGGCTGAGGGCTGTGATATTACCAGCCTCTGGGTCTCCCGCCTCCTGGGGCAGGCAGACCTGCTTGGGGACCTTTCATCATCTCATAAAGTCCTGCCCTGCTACACCCACCCACCTTCCAGCCCTGCCTTCTTCCTGAATCAGATACGGTCTCCCACCTGCAATTATGTCAGGCCCAAACTGACCCCCATGAGCTGTGTAAGCAGGGCTGCCGTGCTGCACAGCTCTGCGGAGCTCCTTTCATGTCGCCGTCCACGTGACTGGTCCCTCTGGGGTTGTGCACAGCACAGCCTCCACTGTCACAGGAGGGGGCCCAGTGCCATTGCCTTCCTCCACTCCTCCGAGATCGGAGTCCTTGGTGTCCTTGGGTTTACCTCTGGAGGTAGAGGCTGCAGACTTGTTGCAGGGTGCCTGGTGGGATAAATAACAACAGAGCCTTCTGAGGGAACTCTCAGGAATCGGTCCCAAGTGGAGGTGAACCATGGTGTGAATTATCCCCAAACATTGCATTACGTAAAATCACCCTGTGGGATGGAGATTTCAGATTTCTTCGGAGGGGGCAGCACTGTTACCATTCTGACTGCGATGCGTTTGAACCAGTATTCCGACGTCTTCACATTTCCTTGAGTAAACTGGGAGAAGGTAACCTCAACAGGCCTTGGAAGCAAATGAGACGAACCCAGGAAGTGAGTACCAGCTGCAAGTCTGCAATGTGTGGGATCGAGAATTGAACATAGGGCCTTTGCTGTTGGATGTTTTTAGAAAGGAGCCTGAGGCAGCACCTTACCTGTGATACTCCGTGGGGAGTGCAGTCCTAGGGAAGTAAGAGTGAGGGAAAGGGAAGTGAGGCAGGGATGGAAGAGAACAGATAGAGGCTGTGGTATCACTGTGCTGGCCACAGCTCTGCAACTAAACACAGCTGCTTGCTCAGGCACACGGGATGTCTCCCGAGGAGCCACGTGGAGCCACCACATTTTAGAACACATGTGGTGGAGGGGGGTGAGGAAGGAAAGACAAGCAATGTGTCTCTAGTCTCCTTCCCATCTCCTCTCAATGGTTGAAGCCTACCTTGTGGGTGGGGCTTTGCCTCCCCCACCCTTCAGAGAGGGTCACCCGGCCCCTCCCAGAGCCACCCAGGGAGCAAGAGCCTCTGCGAGCACAGCCCAAGCAGTACGCAGGCTCAGGGGTCTCTCCTTGGCAGCTGGCCCCCCTGCTGGTGGCGGCAGTGGCTTTATGACCACGTGGGACCAAGTAGCAAGGCAAATGGCCTAAGGGGCGGGTGAGGTGAGCAGATCTGGGGTGGCACGTAAACTAAGTCCAGTTTCTTGAAATCAGTGCATGCTGCTTGCAAAAATGATCCTAATTTTAGCCAAGGATTTGGAGAGGAAAGGCTAGGGGGACTGATGTGGTCGGCAAGCATAACCTTCGTTCCCCTCGTGGGCAGGCACGTCGGTCCTCATGTCTGGCAAGAAGTTGAATAAAATCATGGTCAGCTCTCTCTGCCTTCATCAAGGAACTGAATTTAAATTGCAACAGGAAGGCTGCGATATTCAGAAAAAACCCATTACTAGGAACTCAGCTATCCCAAACCCTCACTAAATAGGAACCTACTGCTGCAGAACAGAAAACTACCAACTTAGCAGCTTACAGCAACACACGTTTGTTATCTCACAGTATCTGTAGGCCAGGAGTCTGGGCACAGCCTAACCCAGGCTTCTGCTCAGGGTCTCACTGGCTGCAGTAAGGGGTAGCCAAGGCTGCAGTCTCACTGGAGGCTCAGCTGGAGAAGGATCACTTCCAGGCTTACTTGGGTTGTTGGCAGAACTCAGTTCCTTGTGGTTGTAGGACTGAGAGCTTCAGTTTCTTGCTGGGTATTGGCCAGAAACCACTCTCAGCGACTAGGGGTCACCTGCAGTCGTTGCCACGTGGGTTTCCTTAGCCTGGCCCCCTGCCTTCTCCAAGCCGTCAAGGGAGGAAAAAAAGAGTCCAGCAAGATGGGTACCACCATCTCATGTAACATAATCCCATCCACATAATTGTGTATACCCGTCACCTTTGCCATGTTCTGTCAGTTAGAAGCAAGTCCAGGCAGGTCCCAGCCACACTCAGTAGAGGGGATGATACAAGGGCATGAACACAGGAGGCTGGGATCATGGGGGCCACCCTAAGAGCCTGCCCACCACACCTCATTTTGCTAGAACTCTGCTTATAAGCAAAAGCAGCAAATAAGTCAAAACCACCACATGTTTGTATCAGGAATTAAGTTTAAAAAAAAAAGCTCTGTGGTATGTGCTGATTCCACCTGTGTCACTAACCACAGCTCCCGGATCTGAACCAGTAGAAAGATGACCCAGGGTCAAGTCCGTTCTTCCCCTGCCTCTGCGCCCCACCCTGCCCCCCGACCACGTGCCCTTTGTAAAGCAGAGAAATGGGCTCAATCAACAGAAAGGGGGCTCCTAGCCTTACCCAGTTGTCAATATTTAAAAAGCTTTTCCAACATTAAAAGGAACTTCTTCTGCTTAAATATCAACAAACCAGAACATTCAATTACCTAGAAAATCCCCATTCCTAAAATGTTCAAGTAACCTGAGCCTGCTTGAAAAAACAAAGACAGAGCTTCTGCATCCCACGTGATGACCATTTATAGAGTTGCCACAAAATGAACAGCCACTGAAGGAAGGCTGTCATGAGGAACTCAGATTTGCGGCAGTCCTGGCCCCCACCTGCAGCTGTCTCTTCCTTGGGGCCCTTTTCCTTTGCTTCCAGCTGCCCATCGCCTGCCTGGCCTCACCTATGCCCAGCCACTATGTCAAGGAGTAATTGACTGAGTGCCTCGGACCAGTCCAGGCTCCACTGAACCCATCAGACTAGGACAATGCAGTGGCCCCTCAAAGGAGGAAGGCTATTTCTAAGGCTCATGGTTGATGGACCACAGTAGCTGTGATTATCATTTTAATTGCAAGGCCATCACAATCTTATATTCAGGGTGTGGATATCAGAGGCCACAAAGCACTCTGCAGCCTTAAAAACAGACTGTGGAGACGGTCTGTGCTTCAGACTAGAAGTGGCCCATTATGACATCTTTCTTTCTTGGCCTCCACATTGCAGTCAGACTCTCCCAGAAAGGAAAGATCTTACCCTCCCTGTTAAGGTCGGATGCAAATCCCACCCACCTCCTCTGGGATCTTTTCCCCAAACCATATTCATTGCCATTCTCTCCAGGATTCAGCCCCCTCGTCCTACTTCCCTACCCAGAACTCCCTTAGAACTCACTGCTCCTACCACTGATTTGACAACAACCCCCCACAGAATTCTGACAGCTCTCCCTGCGGTGTTCTGAGACATTAAAAAACCTCACACTCTATCTTACACTCCCAATAGGACACCCCGTTCTTAACAGGGAAGAAGCATGTCTTAAACTCTGCAGAGATCCTACAATTGCCCGAGCTGTTTGCCCATTGGCAAGATTTTTGCACACATTGTTCTTGGTACTTGGCACATTTGTACTCAAAATAGTTCCCCAGTTAAGTTCAATTTTGTAAACTTTCCAGAGTACTCACAGCTCTTTTATGTTTTAGGGTAAAGAATATCATTCGTATAAAGCCCTTGTACTTGCACACGGTATGCTTAATACATGGAAGCTGTTTTCACGGCTTAGAACCCATTGTCATGACTGACCTGGGATTCATGGTTTGACATAAAAGGACCAAAGCCAAGATGTGTCAGCCTTTCCAGTGTTTTGGCTTTTTGTTCGACACGTATATTGAGGGATGAGGTACACTCAGTAAAAGCTACCCTAGTGAGTGGACAATTCCCTGAGCTTTGAAAAATGCATGAAGTTGCCACTCAGCTTCCTCAGCTGAAAGTTGCAGCACATGTTGATCAGGAATCTTCGTCTTTTCTGTGGTCTCATGCACTCTTTGTCTATAACACTGTCGGGCTACTTCCAGGAAAATGCCCTTTTTCCTCATCTTGGCCAGACTAAGAGCCACTTCCCAAAGCGGCTTTGACCTTGGGTAGCAGCTCTATTGAAGGAGCAAATCCAGAGTCGGAACAGAGTTTCTCTGCAAGGATCAGGGCCCCATGTATTTCTAACAGGCCTCACTTGGTTGCGAGAATGTGAGAATGGGGATGAGTCATAACAAAACCCATCTGGATATCTCTGAAATTTGACAACGGGCTAAGATGACTGATAGGGTAAAATTTTTCTTTAAACAAACGTACATACAAGTCCTGTCTCCATTGCCTCAGACGTGGGTGGAACAGGTAGGATGGGTGGGAGCATGGGCTGCAGAGCGTTAGCGTAGGGACAAAGTCCCACCCTTCCTTATGTCCCCAGCACTTAGCGTAGCTCATTGATGGTATCTGTTGTGTGACCGAGTGAGTGGTCTTAGGTTAGAGATGGGGCAAGACCATGCCATCTCGGGGTGGACTTACCCATCACTCGTACGTGTCTAAAGACAGTGGGGAGAAGACCCACCAAGAGGGGCCCTGTCCATGCTCTCAGGTGGGGCCCCTCCCCTCCATCCTGAGTGACCTCAGCAGACTCCTCACTTCTGTGATTGCAGAACTACTTTGAGAGCTACCTGGCCGTTGCCTCCACTGTACCCTCCGTGCTGTGCCTCCTGGTGAATTTCCTGCTTGTCAACAGGTAGGCCACTTTCCTCCCTCTCCGAGGCCCCTGACCTTCACCTCCAGCCTCATCCACTCCCCTTTGGTCCACAGTTGCTTCTCTTCTGCTGGCTTACATGTGTCCACTAAAGTAGGAAGCAGGCAGTTCAGACTCCTCCATGAAGACTGAGAGCCAGATCGGTTACCTGGGGCCCTGCCTATGGAATGCCCGGTCAGGGAGCCACACGCTGCCACATGGGGTCAGAGCTGACTGTCAACAGCTGCCTGGGCCGCAGGGACACCACAGATGGTGGGTGGGGCCCGGGGAGCAAGGTTTGTGGAGGCTGGTCTTCCAAGCCTTTCTGAGAGCCATCGAAAGTTAAGAGCCTGGGGACTTCCCTGGTGGTCCAATGGTTAGGACTCTGTGCTTCCAACGCAGGGGCCACGGATTCGATCCCCGGTCTGTCAGGGAACTAAGATCCCACATGCCACGTGGAGCGGTCAAAAAAAAGAAAAAAAACATCAGAGCTAGAAGTTAAGAGGCTGGCACCCCACCACCCTGGCTCTCACTATATGGGAATGGGTCACTCAGTGCTCAGTGCCAAGCTGGTAACAGCAGCTCATGAGTCGACCGCCTATGGGGGAGGTCAGTGGGCGACTTCTGACACAGCATTTGTGAAGGGTGGGATGCACTGTGGAAGAAGGAATGATTTAGGAGATAGCCCGTGGCCCTTTCACCCCACTGGGTGACTGGTGCCATCCGTTCTCCATTTAGGTTTACAGGGGTAACAGCCTGAGCTACTTTGCCTGCATTTCCCCTAAGCTATCATTAGCTGATAAAGGTAGCTACGTTGTGATTCAGAAACTTGGGCATCTCTTGGGCACGGCCTACTGCAACCTTAGGTCGCTGGTGGCAAACCTGTTTTACCCAACTCTGCTCAGTTTGTAGTGACTACCTGGATCTCTGCTTGAACAGGATTCTACGGCAGGTCTGACCTCAGGGAGTGTGCTGTGATTGATTATTGATGTCTGTTCTGAGTCCAGGAGGAGAGAGGGCAGCGCATGTGCCTCAGGTGTGCTAAGCCTGAAGAGACCAGTCTTTCCAAACATATTACGTTGTGGGGTTATTCCAGTGATCTGTTGTTGCAGAAAAATGATCCCAGAGCATGGTGGCTGAAAACACTACCACTGTCTCTCGTGGTTCTGGGAGTCAGCAGGCTCACCTGGCAGCTCTGGTTGGCCCTCTCTCATGTGGCTGTAGGCAGCTGGGGCCTCCGCGGGGCACCTCTCTCTCCGTCTGTCTCTGTCCCTCCCCTCGGTCTCTCGCAGGTAGCAGAACTTTTCATGTTGTGGCTGAAGAGCAGGCGCCCCAAGAGAGCAAGGCAGACGCTGCATGGTTTTGGTAACCTAGTCTCTGCAGTCACATACTGTCCCTTCTGCCCACTCAGTTTTAAGGGACCAGGGACCGCACCTTTCAATGGAAGGAATGTCAAAGAATTTTGCACGCCTCTTAAAACCAAAGTGAAGGCTGGACGAGCAAGAGGGAGGATGGTCTGAGACGGCCTGGGGGCCGAAAGCCAGCTGGCCCCTAACCTGCCTGCTCTTGCCTGTCCCTGGCACACGGGGCTACGGTCAGTGTCCTGGCAGGAGGAACGCAGCCTCCAGAGATCACGCCCAGAAGGAGGCAGGGGATGGAGTTATGAGCCGGGTAGAGCTGGGTCCCTGGCAGTGACTCAGAAGAGAAGGTATGAGGAAAGGAAGGGCATGCAAGAAGAGGACAACAAGGAAGAGGTGACGGAGCCATGGCGGTGGGCAGTCCCTCGGCCTCTCGCCGCCCTGTCTCCTTTCCAGGCCCCTATCGTGATCCTCTGTCCAAAGTGGAGGTCAGGAGATGCGCGCAGGACCACAGTGCCAGGAAGGGCTGGCCTGAGCTGGCGTCTTACCTGGCACTGCCCGCTCTGTGGTCGTGAGGTCCAGCAGGCCGGAAGCCAGCCGGGACTGGGGATCAGCGGCAGCGGGTAAGGCCCAGCCTCAGGGCCCTGGGCGAATAATCTCTGATCATCGCAGTTAGCATTCCCAGCACTCAGAGCCCTCGGAGGCATTCTCTGCTTTAATCTGCAGTGGCCAAGAGCGGCAAATTTATTCCCCTGTTTTACAGATGGGCAAACAGGCTGACAGAGGTGACCTGCCCAAGGTCATGTGGCCATCAAGAGGTTGGAGGCAGGATTGAACTGGGACCCTTCTCCCCCCACATCTGTGCGTGGAACCTCTGGGCCCCCTGCCGCCTAGTTCTCCAGCTTCGCGGGACCCCTCCCTGCAGCCAGAGCTGCATCTCAGGCTTTATAAGCGGGAGCCCGTTTCTGCCCTGGCTTCAGGCTACTGGAGGGAAAGAGGTGGTGAAGAAGGCCTGGGTCTGTCTGCAGTGGGCACTGCCCTCCCGAGCATGGCTGGGAGCTGGCTCTGAGGGCTCAGTGTTACAGGGCGTCCTCCAGAAGGGTCCTGCCCACGCCAGGGCCTGCCTGTGCCCTTTCCCGGCTCCAGGAGAGGGGTGAGGGCCATGTGGAAAATGCTCCCAGCCTCTGTCTGTTTCTGGATTGTGGGAAGATGGTTTGGAGCTAAGCTGTTTTCTATTTAATGTGCGAGATTGAAATGTCCCCTTTTCTCCCCTCCTGGAGAACCCTGGCTTTATCTAAGCGGCTCATCCATAATCGCCAAGTGTTTTATTATGTTAAATCTGTAGCATCATAAATACTTATGAGGAGGATTTACATTTTGGAGACTTATGAAGAAATCAGTCCCCTGGGGTCCTGAGCCCTCGTGAGCAAGGGAGGGAAGCTGGCAGCCTGGGTACATCTGGCAGCCCTCTCCAAGAATCTCATATCACTATGACCTGCCCCAGGGTCCCAGGGCTGGAGCTGTCACTTCAGACATCCCCTGTGCCAGAGCAGAGCCACCAAGCCTAGGGCAGCACTTGTCTAGACTTTCCCTAAAATCCCAACAGTGTTACCACCCCCTGGGCCGCTGTCCAGGTGGAAGAAGCAGAGAGTAAGGCAGTGTGCCCCCCGCTAGTGGATATGGGGTGGACTTGCACGGGCACATTTTATAAAGCTTTACAAGCATTGACAATAGCCCCAGGCAAGACCCCTGAGGGCTTGGAGCCCCTGCAGGGAAGCTCCAGCTGAGAATGGGTTCTGCAGCTGGCAACTAGCTGGCGAGGAGGAGACCTGTGCAGGTCAGGGATGTGACCCGGGGCGGAGGGGGGGGCATAGCTGGGAGCTGCGTTGCTTTTGTGATGCACTTGGTGTTTACCTCCTCCTCTCTCACTCTGCCCTCCTCTCCCTGCCCTGGGGGTGCCTGGGTAAGAAGTCCCCCAGCTCTCTCCAAAGCAACTTTCCTGTTCAGGCAACTACTTAACCTTGTTTTGACAGGCACAGAGAGCTTCTGGGGTGCCAGCAGCATTCCTGGGGGGGACCTTTCCTGCGTTGCATCTGGGAGGAGGTGGTTGGAGACAGAGGCCATTCCCAAAGCTGGCTGGGATCGCTGCTGCTGTTTCCAGCTGTCTCCCTGCCATGCTGAGGGGGTCAAAAAGCAGAGCGTGAAGGGGAGCTTGAGGCCCAGCGTGCACTGCTGGGACCCCTTAGTTATCAATCTGTGCATCCAGCAGGTGTTTACCAGGTGCCTGCCAGGCCCTATGCCAGCCCTGGGGGTGAGAACGAGACGGGGCCCTGTCCCTGTGCCGCTTCTCACGTCTCCTAGTCTGTCCTTCGCCGCCTTCTTGCCCCAAGGAACTGCTAAAACTTTGGGGCATTAGTCCCCAGCCTTTCTCTCCACTTGAATTTTTTCAGATTTAGAAGCATAAACTGGAAGAAACCTGAACTTTTTCTTGTCCCACCTCTTCTTTTTCAAGGAAACTGAGGCCCAGAAAGGTTGAATATTTGCCTGGGGTCACACAGTGAATTGGTGGCAGAGTTGGCAGGGTTTCTGTCTCTGGACTCAGGCTCTGTGCCCCTGTGGCTCTTATCTTTGGGGTGGGTGGGGAAGCTGCAGCTCCTGGGAGAGAGTTGGGCGGGGGGGTTTGTGTGACAGGGTTGAGTGTGTAGCATCACCCTGAGCATCAGAGTAAGGCCTGACCACCAGCCTTCAGGGCACCTGGTATGCATTTAAAATAGGTACTCAGGGGCCCCTGGGGTCCAGGTGCTCACCTGACTGCCCACCAGCTCCTGCCCAGGCCAAGTCCCCTGCAGACCCTGGGAAGATGTGTCTTGATGTGGAGTTTCTCAGAAGCAGACCCTGGAAAAAGGATTCAAGTGCAGGTAGTTTATTTGGGGGGCCACAATAGGAGAAGGGGGGAGACTGGGAAGGGCTGGCAGCCAGTAAAGGAAGCCTTATCAAGCCAGCTCCCATAGAAGGTGACCGAGCTTCGGCTGCTCAGAACTCTGGCAGCCAGTGTGGAACACACCTGAGGGGGTGGGAGCTGGGGTATTTATCCACCCACTTCCCCATCATTGGCTGAAGGCTGTTCTTGGGAGGTGTTAATCAATCACCTGTCACTTGCAACCTGCTTCCTGGTAAGAGGGGAGGGCAGGAGGGCAGGGCACCCATTGCTCAGGGGTGGAGTCTCTCTGTCGCTCCCCAACTGGAAACCCTGATGTGCCTCTATGTGTTGGTTGGCACTCTTGGTAACAAAGGAAAGAGACACAAAAAGGATTTTCTCATTCTTTCCTTAGAAAATTAAAGTCAGGGCTGCCTCCATTGCTGGATCTAGGGGAGTATAAGCGTCCTTCTCATCCGCCGGCCCTGAGCTCTGTGTGTGCCTACTTGGCTTCATCTCAGATGTGGCCTCTCCCCATGCAGCTGGCCAGATAGGAACCAGCAGCCCCCGACACAGTCCTGGCAGAGACCCAGCTTCTACCTTTGAGTCCCAGCGATGACTGACTGGCCCTGCCTAGGTCACATGCTAACCCCTAACCCAATCCAGTGGCCAGAGGTATGGGTGGGACACCCTGATCACCCCAGACCAGGTCGTGTGCCCTCATTTGTGGATGGGTTGGTGTGGACAGTTTGACCGTCCACCTCCGCAGGACAACTTGGCATGGAAGGAGTGCTCTTGGTGGGAGGGATGCTGGCAGACAAAGCCTGCATGCCCACTCCACGCCCCACTCTGAGGAGCAAGTCTTGGCACTTATCAGTTGGACCAGGCCCTCCAGGGTGGGGCTCCATGTCTGTCTGGTATCCTCTGCTCCCAGTGTCACCTGCAGCCAGAGTCCATTTTAATTCCCTGAGTGTGCTACGCTCTCTCTCACAAGATATGTGCACTCACATCCAGACGTACCTTACGCTCCAGCTTAGGTATCGCCTCCAAAAAACCTATGAGATGCTCAGAGTGGGTGTCGTGCCCCTCAGACGTGCCCAGGATGCCCTATGGCCCTGCTGATGGAGCACTTTGCACACTGGAGCAAAATGCCTGTCCCTCGTCTGTCCTGTGTCCTGGGCATCCAGCCCAGCGCTGGACACACAGTAGTTGGCCAGTGTTATCTGTGGAATGAACACACCAGAGAGGACGCGACTTAGCAAGACAGCCATGGGCTGGGGCTCAGCAGACCTGGGTCCTCATCCTAGCTCCTCACACCACAACCTTGAACTGTCCCTTCACTTCCTCAGGCTTCCTTCTGCCCCTGACACAGCCCAGGCAGCACCTGCTCTCCCTTCAGCCAAGGATAGGAAGGAAACTCAAATTAGCCTGGGGCCACAAAAGCACCTTGAAAAAATCCTTTCTTGCTTTTCATGCTCATCATTTCACACCTCTTTATGTATGTATATATTTTTTTCTACCTTTCATGTCTTTCTTTTTTTATCCGAAAGAAATTTGTATATAACTAATCTGGGTTTTTCTCCCAGCTGCCACCCACTGGTTAGCAGGAAAATTAACTAAACATCCAATCTGGTTTAAAGCTTAGTCTAATGTGATGATTTAAACAGCCTCTTTAGATGATAGTCTCTCTCCCTGCAATAAAAATGCAGTTTCACAGAGAGCTAGGCTTCCCTGCTTCTCCCTGCAGGACGGTGTCTGGGCAGATTGGAGTCTGGGGGAGGCGTAAGGCTTACATGCAGGAGTGGGGTTGGATGGGGGTAGCTGGCTCTAGCTTGGCGTCAGCTGCTGTCCATGACAACTGAGCCCATCACAGGAGCCTCCTTCTGCCCTGGCCACCTGTTCTGGGCCACCCATATTCCCTTCATTCCCAGGGAGGCAGTAGAGTGTCGTTCTGAGAGCACAGGTGGGAGCAGCTGACTGACCTTGGGCAAGTTGCTTAGCCTCTGTGACCTCGGTTTCCTTATCTGTATATGTGGGGTAGGTAAGAATACCTGTTTTGTGGAGCTGGTGTGAGAATTCAACAAGTTAGCATTTAGAAACCACTTAGAAGGGTACCTAGCACAAATGAAGTACTATCTCAGTGTTTGCTTTGATGACGACAGTGATGGTGATGATTTTCTTCTCTTCTCCCTTCTCTCCCTGCCACTGCTAAGTTTTGGGGGAAGGAATCCAGTGGGTGGTTGTTCTGTTTAAGCACTAGACAAAGCCAGCGGGAGCTCATCCCCGTGGCAGGAGGAACGGGGGTCTTGCCTCAAGATCCCTCATCTCCTGTCCTTGAACCTCACAGCAAGATGAAAAGAAGCAGCATCTGAGAACATTTGCCCTGAGCTGGGTACTGCTGCCTGACTCTATACACTCCCCGCCAGAGATCCTCACAACCACACCTTCAGGTAGATTGATTCTCCTTTCTTTTGTACAGACGCAGAAGCTGAAACCGGAATGATAGAGTCACTAATCCAAGTCCACACAGGACTGTGAGCCAGGAAGGCAGGATTCAGACCCAGGCCTCCTGACTGCGGAGTGCACAGTCCCAGCCACTGAGCACACCTGCTTCCCTTAAGAATGTTCACCAAGCCCAGCCTGGCATGGGAGGCCCGAGGGGGTCTCTAACCGCTTCTGGTATCCTCACCTTAGGGTTCCGATTCATGTCCGCGTGCTGGCCTCGCTGACTGTCATGCTGGCCATCTTTGTGGTGATGACCATGCTGGTAAAGGTGGACACCTCCTCCTGGACTCACAGCTTCTTCGCCGTCACCATCGTCTGCATGGCGATCCTCAGCGGCACCTCCACCATCTTCAATAGCAGCGTCTTTGGCATGACTGGTTCCTTCCCCATGAGGAATTCCCAGGCGCTGATATCAGGTGAGAGCGGGGGTCCAGACGACTGAGCAGGTCAGTCTACTTGGGGGTTATTTGAAGGAGCCAGAGGTGAGCATGTGGTAGCCCTTCCAGAAAAAGAAATGAGTGTTAGTTGTGTTTCCATGATCTATTATTGTGTTAACAAAGCACGTGAAAACTTCTTAGTGCCTTAGAACAGTAAGAATCATTTCTTTGGCCCGTGTGTCTGCAGTTTGGGTAGAAGTTCGCAGGGACAGCTTTCCTCCTCTGCTCCACGTGGCCTCAGCCAGGATAGCTCGCCTGGAGCTGGAGGATCCACTTTCAAGATGGTGTGCTCACCCAGCTGGTGTGGTGGTGCTGGCTGTTAGCTGGAAGCTCAGCTGGGGCTGGGGCTGGGGCCAGGGTTTCTCTCCATGTGGTCCTCACCACGGCTGCCTGGGCTTCCCCGTAGCATGGCCTCTGGGTTGCAAGAACAAGCATCCCAAGAGGCCCAGGCAGAAGCATTATTTCCTTTTATGACTTAGCCTTGAAAGACATTTAGGGGCACTTCCACTATAGCCATAAGCCTACCTGGATTCACGGGGAGAAAACACAGACCCACATATCTCAGTGGGTGAGTATGAAAATCATACTGTAATGGGAGGGGAGACATAGTTGCAGCTCCTTTTGGAAAATACAGTCTGCCTACCAAGTGCATTTCCTGAACCAGCGTTCCTTTCTTTCCCTCCCTCCTCTCCTCCTTTCCCTTCTCCTGTCCCCTTTCCTTCTCGTTATTTTTCCTTTCCCCTACCTTTTCCCCCTTCTTTTCTCCATCTTTTCCCCCCCTCTATCTGTACTTCCTTCCTCTGTAATTTTGTAGAAGACCTACTATGTGCCAGGGATTCAAAGATGAACAGGGCTCAGCCTCCCAGGAGCTGATAGCCTAGTCATAAACTCCTCTGTTACCCTGAACTTTGGCATTTTATGGGGCTGCTGACATGACTTGGGCTGACCCCTTTAACTAAAATTTTGATCCTAACCTAAGCCTGTTGCCTAGACCTCAGCAGTTCTGTTCTCTCACCCAAATGTCTCAACAAGATAAAAAGGAGCTGGGTCAGGAAGAATCTGTGCTTTCCCAGGAGACCACCGCCCCTTAAAGCAAGATTGGGAGCTTAGCTGCTCTGTTCAGTGTCTCTGCATGTCCATGTTGTGTGAAGAGGTGCAGTAAGCATTTGCCCACTTGAGAAGCATCTTGCGAAGAATCTTCTCTGTGCCCATTAATCGATAATGCCAAGTAGTATGTGACAGGGATGACAAATACCTGGACACGTGTATATCTCCTCCCTGTTCCCACACCAGTGCCAGACATCACTAATCGATCTGTATCTTTCCTCCTAAGTGTCTAAATCCTTCTCAGCATAGCACTGGAGACACTTACTGTCAACAGATCAGAGCTCAAATCTGTTTGCCATTTTTGATGTAAGATTAGGCTTCTGGCTGTATCCTCAGAGAAACCCTTGGGCGTAAAGTAAAATAAAAGTGGACCCATCGCTAAGTTTCCTGAGTACAATCAATATGCCCCTAGCAGTGCTTCAAGAAGGGCATGCCTAAGCTGAGGCAAGTGGCCACTGAACACTGGATTTAATCCCTTCGGTCATCCTGGTCTCTTGTCCCCTCATCTCCCTCCATACTGCTAGAGGATTTTTCAATATAACAACCTTGCTGGCTCTCTCTCCAGGAGCCAGTGACCAAACACACCGATATGTTGGCAAGGCGCCCTTCAGGTTCATCTGGCCACCTGCAAACCTTCCAGAGAAGGAGACTCTCCCGTGCATTTTTAAGAAAGTCCATTTTTGAAAAAGTAGAGAAATCTAGTACTCACACTTCAGTATTAATTACCCTGGGCCCTAAAACGTTGTCACCACTGTGTGCAGTTCCCAGTGGGCACCCGTCACCCTGGAAGATGTGAGGTGTCCCGATCTCCCAGAGGCCTCAGTGCCACTCACCAGCCCCCGTTGTTTTTTGTCCAGAGGAGCCCATCTGTGAATTCTGTGTGTGTTGGCATCTGAGGAACAATTCATTTGTTTTGTACTGGTGTTTTTTTAAGTCCCTCGTTTGCATGTATTTCCATAACTGATGAGATAAAAGTAGGGAGTCATGAAGGATGAGCTCCCGGAGGCCTGGTTTGTTGTTGATGATAATATTATAAATTCTCTACAAGTTGGGAAGAGAGAGAGGAAAATCAATAGGCAGTGATGTTAAGATCTCTTCCTCAGGGCAGCTAGGGAATGTCTTACGGAGTTTAACTCCAGTTCTTACAAATCACCCAGGTGGGGATTACAGCTTCTCAGAAGTTGGCACCCTCTTGGCAAAGAGTTTACCCTGTTGTTGCTGTTTTGATGTAGGAAGGACAGAAATAACGAAACACCTAATTGGGAATCTGAGAGGATTTATATGGCACCTCTCAGTACCAGACACTGTCCTGCTTTACATGTAATGATCCTCTTAATCTTCGTAACAGCCCTAAGAGGTGGGCTTTAACATCCCCATTTTACAGACAAGGAAACGGAGGCACAGAGAAGTTAAGTGACTTGCTGAAGGTCACACACATAGAAGTGGTAGAGCCAGGGTTGGACTCAGATGTTTTGATTCTAGAGTCTGTGCTAGAATTAAAACATCACTATGCTAACTTTCATTTCTTTGCTCTCCTCTCAGATCCCAACCTCTGGCCCCACCCAGGCTAATAGAACTCACATTGAGAAGGTTGGGGAGAAAAAGAGCCACAGAGGTGTCAGTCAGAGTGTGGGTGAGGCAGCGAGGATGGGCATCGTGGTGGACGAGGGCCCAGCTGTCGCTCTCCCACCTCTGCTCTGTGCAACAATGGGCAGTGAAGTGGTGCCTGGTCAGACCTGCCAAGTAATGACAAAGCAGCTCGTGCCCACACGGACCAGTTGGCTGTTTGCAGTCAGTGGCCCTCTTGCCTCCTTGAGACTCAGTATCCTGATCCTCTAACGCAGGCAAATCCATCCGTGCAGCCAGGCAGTCCTGTATTCACAGGCACTTACTGCGTTGATCCTATTGGACGCGCCCATGTATTCATTGTTTTTCCCATTCACTGTTTCCATTTCCATCCCACTGTAGTCTCATGGGAGGGACAGGACAAGTGTGAGTCCCATCTTCCAGGCAAATAAACAGGCTGTGACCATGTATAAGCTCTGACTCGTGGCCAGCACCAGTTGACCACCCACGGTTGTGAGGGTTCAACAGAGAAGAAAGACACATGGCCTGCCTCCCAGAAGTGACTGTGATTGTGGTGAGGAAGGGGACTGACATTTGCAGAAAGCCTGCCGTGTGCTGGGCTCTTTCTAAACATCATCTGATTCAGGCCTTGATCTGCAAGGCAGGTGTCGTTGTCCCCATTTTACAGATGAGCAAACTCTGGTCCCAAGAAGTCATGTTGCCCCCAGGTCACAGCGAGCAAGTGGCAGAGTCAAGGGTCAGATGTACATCTGTTTGGCTCCTGGACCCATGAGTCCCCTCAGCTAGGTTGTGCTGTCTCTTCTGTTAGGTAGCAGAGAAAGATGTGGTGCCACGTGGTCACCTGGGCCACGTGCCGAAGCCCTCGGCAGGAGAGCACATTCCATGTGGTGGGGCAGTTGCGTGCATGCGAGTGTGTGTATGAGTTTGGGGTAGCATGGTGTGTGAGTATATAGGAGTGTGTTACTGAGTGTGTGTGTGTGTGACAGTGTGGTTTGAGACTGTGTGTCGGTGTGTGTGTGTGTGAGAGCTTGTGGTAGCCTATGTATGTGTATGTGATTGTGTGTGTGTTAGCGAGCGTGCATGCGTGTTCACACGTGTATGGTGCACAGCTGCCGTGGGGTACAAGGTAAGCTCCATGAGCTCCTGGGTGGCTTTCTAACCGGTAAGGACTCCCCAGATCGGCTGGCCTCGCTCGAGGCAGCGGGGAGCCTGTGCTCGGACAGGCCGGAGCCTCTTCCATGCCCCTTGGAGAAGAGCTGGGCTGGAGATACCCTCCCAGAGTCAGAAAGCTCACGGCTGCAGGACCCTCCGGGTCTGCCAAGGCCTCGCCGTGCTGTGAGAACAGCAGCGTTCTTCTCAGCAGCGACAGCGTGGAGCTGGAGTGGAGCGCGGGCGGCCCGAGAGGCAGGGAGGACGGGCCCGCCCTGACCATCCGTGGGGGTCCCACGCTCTCTGCAGGAGGAGCCATGGGGGGCACCCTCAGTGCCGTGGCCTCGCTGGTGGACCTGGCGGGGGCCAGTGACGTGACGGACAGCACCCTGGCCTTCTTCCTGACGGCGGACGTCTTCCTGGTGCTCTGCATCGGGCTCTACCTGCTGCTGCCGCGGCTGGACTACGCCAGGTGAGGCCCGCGCTAGCTCTCTGCGGCATCCTTCTCTCATGTATGCTTATACCTTTATCCTGTCTGCTTGAGTTCTTCTGTCCTCTAGCTAGAGCCCATGTTCGTTTCCTGGTTTACTGCCCGTCTCCCCGCTGGAGTGTGACCTCCCCTGAGGGCAGAAATAGAGTGGGTTTTGCTCTCTGCTGTATCCCATGCCTCGAGCTGTGCCTGGCTCGTAGTCGTTGCTCAGTAAATTGGCTGAGCCGTTGGACGTGAGAAGTTGGCTTTGCGTAGACAACCCCCGGAGTCTGCGTGTTTTCCGTCAGAGAGGGCAGGCGGCGGAAGTGGGACCTGAGCAAGGATAATGATGAAGAGTAGCTCCTTGGGCTGCGCACCTCCCCTGCTCCTGCTCTGTGCTCAGCCTGGCCTCACGGGGCTTCTTAAAGCTCACACACCCGCTTCTCATGGGGGCAGCACTGTGACTTATCGTAATTGCGCCCGTTCACACGTGAGAAAACCAGGCTCAGAGAGGCTGAATTACTTGCCTGAGTCCCACAGCCCGTCGGCAGCAAAACCAGCATTGGAGCCCAACTCCAAACCTCTGATTCTAACCCCCGTCTCTCGGGGCCTCTCGACCCTGCGGGACCGCTTTCCTCTCCTTAGTCTCTCTCGCTCTCTCTCTCCTTCCTCCTTTTCCTTTTTTGCTTCCTGCTGCTCTTTAAAAAATGACCCGTGACTTTTTCTTGCTTTTTATTCTTTTCAATGCATTTTCATAACCATTGTCGTATTTGATATAGGAATGGCAGGAATTATATTCCCCATTATACAGGTGACTAGACGGAGACAGAGAAGGCCAGGTGCTTGGCCTGTGGTCCCACAGCGTGTGAGCCGCAGAGCTGGGCAAGAGCGCAGGTCCTGGCTCTGCCGGATCCACGGGAACCGATTTGGTGTGGGGGGCACTGAGCTAAGCAGTCCATTTTTTCCCCTTAGGATATATGACAGCCTCGTGCAGTTTTTACTGTATTTTCCCATTTTACCAATGAGGAAACTGAGGCTTTGGAGAGTTAACAGACATGCCCAGGTTTCTTACCTGGTGAGTCGTAGGTGGGCATTGGAACCTGGAGCCGTTTCCCGGCTGCACCATTACCACTGCATCCTGCTGCACCCCTGGCTTGTGACGGCGAGGTCCTTCCTCACCACTGACTCCTCCTGTCCCTGTGAGAGTCGCCTCGTTAATCCCCAGAGCCCCCTGCCTTCGCCAGAATCCTGAATCTGCCGGGGCAGGTCGCTGTCCCCAGTTAGAGGATCGTTGGAACTTCAGCTGCCCTCCGTGGCCTCAGGAGGATAAAGGGGGACTGAGTGATGATACCATGTACGCCAGGGGGCTACAGACCTGAGTCTGCCCACCCGCTCCCTGCCCCTTCAGGGCTGTCATCAAAAGTTACCCAGCTGTGCTCCACGATGATGCCCCTGTGATTCCTGGGGTCTGACTGGCTCGCTGTCCCCCAGCCCCTCGTGTACTGCCTGACACCTTGTTGCTGCTGACTAAATTATTTTGAGTCAATGAACAGAAGGCAGGAGGTTCCCACTACTCCTGCTGTTTCCCTGTGTCCTGTTTCAGGGAGCCTCGCGTGGGCTGTTTACACCGGGGTGGCCAACCTTCCTTGTTTGCCTGGGACTGAAGTCCCAGGGGTTCCCAGGACTGGGAGCTTTCAGTGCTAAAACCAGGATAGTCTCGGGCAAACCAGGACAGGTGGTCACCCTAGTTTTCAGTCTCACTTAAGCAAGCCAAAATCCTTTCCAGCTGAGCATGTGAGACAAGAGAACAACCCAGGGCTATGCCAGCCCATGGAAGTTTCTATTTCTTTGCATATTAACACTTGGGTCAAGGCTTCTGGGTTTACAGAAACCCATCTGAGGATGGAGCTTTAGAGCTGTGCTCCCAGGGCTGCTCAAACTAAATCTTACTTAAAAGGGAGCCCATAGGTGCTGCACCCAGGAGGGCTGGGCTAGGCTGCCCCATCCCACTCAGGAGGAACTGAGCCTCACGCAGTGGTGGGAGCTGCTGACTGCGGTAGGGTGCAGTTAGATTTGGACGAACTTATGAAGAAGAGCTTTGACCAGAAGAACTTGGTGGGCAGCTTCCTCAGAGCAGACTAAGGCAAGGACTTGATGCTGAGTAGAAGCAGAAGTAAGAATAGTCCTTTCTCTAAATAGTGATTGGGAAACAAGACAAGGTTTAAGACCAAAGTGCTCAGCTCAGCATTACATGGAAAAGTGATTCTGGGGAGGAGTCCTCCCAGTGACTCGCTTATGGACAGTATGTAGGCACTTAGGATGGGAAGGCTGGCAGGGATCTCAGAAACTACAGCTACAGAGCCCCTCCATTTTACAGAGGAGGACACTGAGGCCCCGAGAGGGGAGTACCTGGCCTAAGGTCACGGTGGGGAGGCAGAAGTAGTGCTGAAACCAGAACCCCGCTATCACCAACCTGCTGTTCTCCCCGGCACCACACCAGTTCTTCTGTTTGAGATATATTAATACAATCAGCCCGTGTCTCCTGGTTTTTAGGCACCCAAGGCCCAGAGAGGTTGAGTGACTCAGGAAAGGTCACACCGCAATGCAAAGAGACCCAAGCCTTTTCTACTCTGGTCAGAGTAGCAGAAATTGAAAAAATTGATCATATTCAGTGTTGAGTATATGCAGGAAAAGATACTTTTATAGGCTTATCAGTTCTTTCAGCAATTATGTTTTGAAGGGTTATTGTGTGCCCAGAGATTTAGCTGGGAACAGCCAAATGTGTCTTTGCCCCAGAGAGCTGTCTTCTACTGAAGGAGACAGATGATAAACCAGTAAACCAACACAATGATTATAAATTGTGGTCAGTTCTTTTTAGAGAAACAGGTGCTCTCATGGAGATTGAAGGGTTAGGTTACTTTAGTTAGGGTAGGTAGGTGGTACAAAGCAGAGATAAATTGGTTCTCCCTATCTGGAGAGCAGTTTATCAATATCTATCAAAATTTTAAAGATACAAACCTTGTGATCCAGCAGTTCTTCTTCTAGAAATTTGCTCTACTGAAATACTAGTATATATGTACAAGGATTTATGTATAGGGACATTCATTGCACCATTATTTGTAGTAGAGAAAAACTAGAGCTAACCTAAATGTCCAGCATTAGGGGAGCAGTTAAATTGTCTATCCATACAGTGAAATACTCTGCAGCAACAGAGACAGAGCCGTCTGTCCCTGTGTGAAGGGATGGCCACAAGATACTCTTCTTTAGGCAACTGTGTGTATACATTTATGTATAATAGTTATGCATGTAGACAGTTATATAATGTATTTATATTACGTTAGTTATACTGTTGCAAAAAGTTTTACAGTGTGTATAGTTTGATCCCACTTTTGCTTAAGAAACATAGCTCTGTGTGTGTGGTGTTTGCATGTGCATGGAACAATATACACCAGACTTTTAATGATCTGTATCTCTAAGGAGTGAGACCAGAGGTGGGAGGTGAGAGTTCTTGTTCTACTGTATCATTCCTCTTATGTATTATTTGGGTTTATTGCATCAAGCATGTGTTACTTTTATAATTTAAGATTTTAAATTACTTTTACATTTGAAGAATAAATGCTACTTTAGCTCCACCTCTCCCCACCCCCAAAACCAAACAAAAATAAGTGAGTGAAGACTGGATCCCAGGCTCACCATGCAGTGGTCAGTGCTGGTTTCCTCTCTCCCTGCTCATGGCACGGCCGGCACCACGGAACGATAGACTGGAGTCCAGCCTTACAGGCAGCTCCGGACAGGAAGGCTGGGGATTGTGCAGGTCTCCCTCTGGCCACCCCGCAGCACACGTGTCATCTGAGGGCATCCTGGGGCTTAGGCTTTACATGCTGGACCTAAAGACCGTCCCCGGCCTTGTCTCTGAAAATCCCGAGTGACCCTGCTTTCCAGCCCCTCTTACCACTAGCCTCTCTCCTGCAGGTACTATATGAGGCCTGTCTGGCCAGCTGTGTTTTCTGGTGAAGAGCAGCTGCCCCAGGACTTCCCCAATCCCCCTTTGGTGGCCCCTGGATCCAGCAACTCCCAGACACCACCCCTCCGCCCCATCTTGAAGAAGACTGCCGGCCTGGGCTTCTGCATCATCTACCTCCTCTTCATCACCAGCCTCGTCTTCCCCGCCATCCTCAGCAACATCGAGTCCCTCAGCAAGGGCTCGGGCTCGCCGTGGAGCACCAAGTTCTTTGTCCCCCTCACCACCTTCCTCCTGTACAACTTTGCTGACCTGTGCGGCCGGCAGATCACAGCCTGGATCCAGGTGCCAGGGCCCAGGAGCAAGGTGCTCCCCGGGCTTGTGCTCCTCCGGACCTGTCTCGTCCCCCTCTTTGTGTTCTGCAACTACCAGCCCCGTGTCCACCTGCACACGGTGGTCTTCCAGTCTGACATGTACCCGGTGCTCTTCACCTCTCTGCTGGGGCTCAGCAACGGCTACCTCAGCACCCTGGCTCTCATCTATGGGCCCAAGATCGTGCCCAGGGAGCTGGCCGAGGCCACTGGGGTGGTGATGTCCTTTTACATGTGCTTGGGCCTGGTGCTTGGCTCAGCGTGCTCTGCCCTGCTCGTGCACCTCATCTAGGAGGGACGGTGGCTAGACCTCAGTGCTGTGCGATGCCTGGGAGCCTCAGCAAGATGGGCAGGAAGTGCCAGGAGGGCCCAGGCGGCGAGCAGGAAGGGCTGGAGTTGGGCTCTGCAGAGCACAGATCACACCCGGGCCTCGTTGCTGCCAGGGAGCTGGGACCAGTGCTGTCGCCGGGACCGGGTAGACATTCCAGATACTTTGACAGATGTCCTGAGATGTTTTGAGGACCAAAGACACCTGAATAAGACACAGTTACAAGTTACACAGAAAGCTCCTGGCCGATGGGTACTTTCTGCCTGTTGTTATTCCCTCTTGGAGAAGGTGTTGCCAGTGTTCGGCTCTTGAGTTGTTACAGGGTGAGTGCCAAGACCGTCTACAGGCCCTTTGCCTTCTCCCAGCCTTGCTCCTTCCAGCTGATGGCAAGATGCGAGACTCCTTAGCCCTCCCTACCCGGAGGAGGTCCCCCTGGGGTGCCCAGTCCTCAGGCCTAAGACCCAAGCCTGTGCAGACCTCCACTTTCCACCAACCAGACTGGGAACCCCGGGAAGACAGGCCTTCCAGGAGCCCTTCCTTCCCTGGACATGGGCTCCAGAGGGCCTCCCTGCTGTACCCAGGACCAAGCATGTCAGGCCTGGATTTCAAACAGGGATGCTTAAAGTGGTCTATGGCCTGGGTCAGGGCAGGGTTTAGTGTCCATGTTTACAGCATGTCAAGGCCATTGGTTCAAGGGCCTAATAAATACCTGGGTATTTAATGAAAGCCTTATTGGTGGCTGTTTTAGGGTCTTGGCAGGAAACAGCATACTCAAATTGAGTAAGTTAAGGATATTTGAAGAGTGGGTGTAGGAACCCTAAGGGGTTATGCATTATATCCCAGAAGTACTGGGCTGGCCAAAAAGTGCTTTCGGGTTTCTCCGTAAGACGTTGGCCAACCCAATAGTAAGGCTGCTCTACCCCAGGCCTGAAGGGAGGGACACGTCCAGCCTGCTGTGACCCACAGGAGGCATGTCCCCTCCTCCCGTCCATCTCCTCCGTGCCCCTGTGGACTGAGTCACAGCCAAGGAGCAGGCGGAAGATGGAGGCTGGACTGGAGGGGCAGAGGGTGTCCAGAGGGGGCCAGTAGCCCCTTCACCTTCCTAGTTTGGTTTATTATGAACATCAGCTGAGCTCTGAAGCTTTAGTCAACAGAATTAGGTGTTGCTTTGTCCTGGTTTTTTCTGGACACAGTCGTATATTTCGTAGCTGTTGTTTCAAAAGGCAACCCCTCAGGTTCTGAGGCCTGCACACACTTCTGATTGCCTGACATGAGTAGTAATCTATATTTTTTCAGGTTCCTTGAAGGCTCCCGCAAGGCTGTTCCTTGGGGGAGCAGGCTGACATGGGAATCCGAGAGAGGAAGGAACTAGATCAGACCAGGAGTTTTCTCAAGAGCTGTGCAGGAAGCACAGAGCTTGCCCCGAGAAGTGGCAAAACCCTGAAAGCCGTGAATCAGCGCTCCTGCTCTGAAGCGCACCGGGTCCGAGGTGTCCTGTGGACAGCTGACAGAGCCGGAAGCAGCCAGTGACCCACCCAGTGTCAGCAGTCGATGTTCCCCACCGACTCGGCTGGTACACGCTCCCTCTCTTTGGCCAGAGAATTGAAAAGGACACCCTTGAAAGGTTTTCTGAAACTTGATACTTGGAAAAAAATTTTTTTTTTATTTTAAAAATAAATTCTCCCCTCCCCTTGCAGGAAGTTGAAATCTCCCCCTTGGTTTTTTTCCACTGACTTCAATGCTGTTGATCACTTGGGGCATCTGTCTGGGAGGTGAGGTGACGCATCTCAACCTCAGGTATCTTATCAATGGGGAGCATGTCTGTTTTAAGGTACAACAGCAGTCTGAGCTCAGGGGCAGGGACCACCCTGGAGCTAACAGAGGAGGAGGGGTGGGGGCCTCGCATGCTCTGTTGAAGGGGGGTAGCTTTCCCGTTAATGAGTTGATTTGGAATCAGCGTGGAGTGAATGGGGAAGAGGGCGGCCAGCGTGATGATGCAGTGTTGAGAGGAGCTGAGGAGATGACGGGCTCGCTGTGCCAGCTGTGCTGCCGCGGCCGCTGCTGGAAGAGGGGCCGGCTGCTTGGCTGGTGGGAGGGTTATCCGGGCTTTTGCCCACTTTTCTTTGTTGCTCACTTTAGTGGGCATTTGGCAAAGGATCATTCCTTCTCAGGGAGGAAGGTAAATAAAAATACATCTCCAAGTAGAGGGACAGACAGTGGAGTTCAGTCACCCTTGTCGCCCATTTATTGTAATAGCAGCTCATGGGGCTTGTCTGCTCTGGGTCTCAAGTCTCATGTGACCCCAGGAGGCTTGTGGAACTAGCTCACGTGTTTTGGGGCGTGAACAAAACTTGCTCAAGAGAAGGGGATTTTTCAGTGAAAGAGGTGGAGGAGAATCCCTGAGAGGTTGCCTTTGTCTGGTAGTACTCTGATTTAATCCCAAGTGGCAGTTTTTAGTGCATGCCCTTGTGTATTTCCATGCCATACACATCTTCATTTTCCTCCTTTCATTCAACAAAGAAAGCTAGAGGCAGCCAATTGACTTTTTAACTAGTGGGTTCCTACATGCATGGGGACATGAGGAGGCTTGAGCCAGGTATGGGTATTATTAGCAAAGCCCATTCATTCTGCTGTCTTCAGTCCAGTGCTCCTGAGAACATTCGGGACCCTCTAATCAGCTTGGACGTGATGTGAGAGGGGGGTTACTGCAGGTCCTGGCTTCTGAGACCATGGCATGCTTTACTACAGAACTTCAGATAGAAGAGAGAAAGCCAAAAGTCAGTTGAAAGATTTTATTCTACTGGAGGTTAAATTTAAAGCCTTTTTTTTAAATTGAATTATAGTTGATTTACAATGTGATAATTACTGCTGTATAGCAAAGTGATTCAGTTATACATATATATATTCTTTTTTATATTCTTTTCTATTATGGTTTATCATAGAATATTGAATATAGTTCTCTGTGCTAGACAGTAGGACCTTGTTGTTTATCCATTCTAGATATAAAAGCTTACATCTGCTCACCCCAACCTCCCACTCCATCCCTCCCCCAACTGCTTCCCCTTGGCAACCACCAGTCTATTCTCAAGGTCCATGGTTCTGTTTCTGTTTCATAGATAGGTTCATTTTTTTGTTTGTTTGTCTTTGTTTTTTGCGGTACGTGGGCCTCTCACCATTCGGCCTCTCCCGTTGCGGACCACAGGCTCCGGATGCGCAGGCCCAGCGGCCATGGCTCACGGGCCCAGCCGCTCCACGGCACGTGGGATCCTCCCAGACCGGGGCACGAACCCGTGTCCCCTGCATCGGAAGGCGGACCCTCAACCACTGCGCCACCAGGGAAGCCCATAGATAGGTTCATTTGTGTCATACTTTAGATTCCACATAGAAGTGATATCGTATGGTATTTGTCTTTCTCTTTCTGACTTACTTCACTTAGTATGATAATCTCTAGTTGTACCCATGTTGCTACAAATGGCATTATTTTGTGCTGTTTTATGGCTGAGTAGTATTCCATTGTATATATGTACAACATCCTCTTTTTTTCTTTTTTATAAATTTATTTATTTTTGGCTGAGTTGGGTCTTCGTTGCTGCATGCAATCTTTCTCTAGTTGGCGGTGAGCGGGGGCTACTCTTCGTTGCGGTGCACGGGCTTCTCATTGCAGTGGCCTCTCTTGTTGTGCAGTACGGGCTCTAGGCGTGTGGGCTTCAGTAGTTGTGGCGCATGGGCTCTAGAGCGCAGGCTCAGTAGTTGTGGCGCACAGGCTTAGTTGCTCCGCGGCATGTGGGATCTTCCCGGACCAGGGCTCAAACCCGTGTCCCCTAGCACTGGCAGGCGGATTCTTAACCACTGCGCCACCAGGGAAGTCCAGTACCACATCTTCTTTATCCATTCATCTGTCAACGGACGTTTAGGTTGTTTCCGTGTCTTAGCTATTGTGAATAGTGCTGCTATGAACATAGTGGTGCACGTATCTTTTTGGATTATAGTTTTGTCTGGATATATGCCCAGGAGTGGGATTGCTGGATCATATGGTAGTTCTGTTTTTAGTTTTCTGCGGAACCTCCATATTGTTTCCCACAGTGGCTGCACCAACTTACATTCCCACCAACAGTGTAGGAGGGTTCCTTTTTCTCCACACCCTCTCCAGCATTTGTGACTTGTCGACTTTTTAACGATGGCCATTCTGACTAGTGTGAGTGGTACCTCATTGTAGTTGTGATTTGCATTTCTCTGATCATTAGCGACGTTGAGCATCTTTTCGTGTGCCTATTAAGCCCAAGCTCATCTTAACCCTGTGTGCTTTCTGAATGAAAGTATCTAGTTTCTACTTTACCAGCATCACTTCCTTGGTGGCAGCTTTGTCAGTGCCGGTTACGCCTGCGGTCTCAGTCACTGCTGCTCTCCACCCGTTGGCTGGGGTCAGCCCAGTTTCCAATCCAGCTTTGACCCAGGCAGGATCCCACAAGGAATTTCAGCCCCACTAGCCGGCGGAGGCAGGGACTAGCCACGTGGCCACAGACCCAGGGTACTGGGCAACCTTTCCATCAGCTGCTCAGACTCCTGGCCCAATGCTCCCTGTGCCAGATGCTTTATCTGCATTATTCCCCCATCTATAGATGAACACAGTGAGGCTCAGAGAGGTTAAGTAACTTACCCAAGATCACTCAGCTACTAAGTGCCCTAGATAAGAAACCTAGGTCTTCCTGAACTCAGAGGTCCTCACCCACCCTGCCCTCATATTCCCATATTGAACCTTCACCTTCTCCTTGGTTCTGTCACCTCTTTTACTCACTCACGGATTGCTGGAGTGTTCTTCTGAGTAGATACAGTGCCCAGAACCCTGGCCTAGTTGATCTGACTACTGCAGCTGGCCAGACCCCGTACTGGACTGGGCCCCCATGGATGCAGACCCTGGGCCACGTCAGGCTCACCACTCTGACCACTCCTTGTCAGGCACGGCATCTTGGGCTGCTTCCAGGCCTGCTCTGTCCAGTCCATTTCAGTCCCCAGCCCCTGCCCTCCTGGTCCCATGTCCCCATCTCCCCCACGCCAGCCCCTGGTGCTGAGGTCACCCCAGCGTGACTGCTGCGGATGGACCCGCCAGGCACTGGCTGTGTGAGTTACGAAGCCACCCTGAGCCAGTTTCCCCATCTGCAAAGTGGGTGATAAGTCCAGGAGTTGTGACTACCCGCGGTGCCAATGAGCTACCCCAGGCAAACCTCATGGCCAGGCAGAGCTGCATCAGCTCACAGCATTTGTAACAAGGTGACTCGAGGGCACAGCGCAGACCCTCTGCTCCCGCCCAGGAGCTGGCCATGCGGGAGTTAGAAAGGCAGCATCAGCCTGAGAGGACAACCTCAACGTCAGGCTGCTGTGGGCTTGACTCCAAAGGAGAGCAATGATGACGGCCGTGCTCTGTGCCCCACAAGAGTCCAGTCAGCTGACCCTGTGCACCCCACTGAGAACAGTTCCTGCCCTTGACTGCAAGTTAAAGGGAGATCGGGGTCTGCAGCTTGGGATGGGGGAGTCAGTCATAGCTTCTGATGCCCGGCAGAGGCTGGGATTCTGGTTCTGCCGCCTCCTAGCTGGGTCACTTTGGCCCAGTCTCGCTGACACCTTCTCACATCTAAAATGAAAAGTCTCTCAAGGCTGTTGGAAGGATTAAATATGCCCCGGTATTGTAGGTCAGAGTACCTAGCATATAGCAGATCCTCAACA